TACTTTCCTGAAAAACTTGAGGAAATATGCAAATGGAAGAACAAATTCATCATAAACATTTCCAAGCTGGAAAAATAAGTAATTGCTGTGTTTTTATGTGAGTTCTTATGACAACAGTTCTTATACCTTTAGTGCTCTTCAGAAGAGTAAAAGGATTATTAAACGTGGTACTGTTGAAATCATTGGAAAGCATTTTCTAAAGCTTGAGAGAGAGTTAAAATTTATTTTAATATATGCATGATAAAACTATTGAGAAATTATTCTTAAATTTTATCCATCTGTTTGTCTCTAAAATGTAATGAATGGGGATGCATATCATAAGGCACAATGCAGCTTGGAAGCAACTGAGTAGTAAGGAAAGTTTTGTTGCAGTTACATATTTTGGGACTTTGGAACTCTGATGCGCAAAGATGTAAAGTCACTCTGAAAATATCTCTTTAACCTAAATACACATGCTAAGCATCAGCTGATTCTCCGTGGCTGACGTGGTTTTATCTCTTCTCATGTTTCATTGCGCTAGCTGGGGACATCTGTAGTCTTACCTTGGAAATAACACTTCATATTTTGTGTTTTAACACGTTCAAAGGCTTAAAAAATTAAAATGTATTAAGACCCCCAAATTGTCTCTTCATGTCATGCTGGAGAAGTTGTTGAAACTATTGTTTTGTGATTGTTACTTATGGAGTTAATTTATCTTTAAAATAATAAAAGCCTCATGAAGATTACTTTTCTCTTGCTGCCTAAAGTTACTCACATAAGAGTCTTTATTGACTTCAGTTTGTTAAATTTAATTTCTTATCAAGGTCACCTGACTTTATTTTCAGTATTTAATTTGAATTTAAATTCTTGGTTTCTATGTCAATAATCATTTACATGTATGATAAAATACCTGTAATGGGGGTGGGGACTGGGACACCTGAAGTAAAGTTTCTATACTTTTGTTTTACCCTGCAGTTATCACAGAATGCTAACACCAATAATTAAAATAGATGTACATGAACTTCAGACACTTAAACACATGTCTCTGTGAGATTCTACACAAATGGGTTTATGTTTAGAGAAGTGAATTTTCCCATAAGTTTAGGAGGAATTTTATTTTTTAATCAAATTGTAATTAGGTTGCTACCTTTTCTTCTTTCAACCACTTGGCATTAAGAAGGAAACAAGATGTGATTTTGGCTTCATAGATTTCACCGGGAAGAGATGCCTACTGAAATAGTCAATGGCAAACACAAAGCAGAGAAGGATTTTGGGTAATTTTCTCACTAAGTTGTAATTGGTTTTTATTTTCATTCTTTGGAGGCCTGTCACCCAGTTCTCAAATAAATTCACTGAGACTTATTCTTACCTCTAAATGCCCAGCCTTAGCTTGGCTTGTTTCTAACCAGCTTTTCTTAAATTATCCCATCTACCTTTTGCCTCTGGGCTTTTACCTTTTTCTATTCTATATACTTTTCTTTCCTTTTTACTCCATGGCTGGTTGTGTGGCCAGGTGGCTGGCTCCTGGCATCCTTACCTCCTTCTCCTTTTTTCACTTGCTCTCTCTTCTCTCCTTTTCTCCTTCTCTCTGCCTGCCAGTCCTGCCTATTTCTCCTGTCTAGCTATTGGGCCATTCAGATCTTTATTAGACCATTAGGTGTTTTAGACAGGCACAGTAACACAGCTTTACAGAGTTAAACAAATGCAACTTAAAAGAATGCAACACATCTTTGCATCATTATCCATAGCATAAAAGAATGTAACACATCTTTAATATTCCACAGCACTAGGTTCTTTAAGCAAATGTAGGCAAATGTTTATTTTTTATTTAAAAAAATTTAAAAAAATTATTTTTTTCATGGATCATTCCAATGTATATCACAAAGATGGAAAGATACTGCTTGCAAGACATCCCTGTGGATTTTTCACATAAAATAAAATTTTGTAATATAATATGCATCTTATTCTTCACAGTTAAGCCACTAGACAAATTATTCAGCACCTAACCTACCTTCTGTTCACACTGATATTATGTACAAATTATTTTGCAAGGGAGCAAATGCTTTGTTACATGTCGATTTAATATTAAAATTCTTGGTAATACCACAGTGTCAGTTCTAAAAAGAAAAGTGTTAATGCCTATTGATAAAAATTGTAATTTTGTAAATTCAAAGTTAATGCATAGAAATAGTTTTTATAATCTCACCTTGAGTTTACCCAACATTAAAAAAAATTATTGATCAAAATCATCTAATGGGTTGACTTTTTAAGTTGTTTCATTTTGAGACAGGATTTCCTGCATAACTCAGGGTGGCCTGGGGCTTGACATTTAGAAAACACCAACTTCAAAATCATGATCCTCCTGTCTGAGGTCTTGGTTACTGGGATTATGAGGATTTTCATTTTTATGTATTTTTATATGTGAAAATATATAGAAACTAGGCTAAAGTCCAATCACTTTAAGTATTGGATATAATACAAATTGAAAGCAAAATAAATCCCTATGCTGTGGTCCATTAGTAACATTGTGAAAAACTAACACAAAAAATCAACTTCAAAATTTCATTTTGTTTAGACACCTAGAAAATAGCAATTAGATCAAAGGAGAACTACCCTAAAATAAAATACAACCAGGATTATGTACTTTATTTTTAATAGCACACACAAAAGGTAGTCAAAGTTAGTATGTTGTCAATGTTACAGAGTGAATTCAATAAACAGTGTTTGGATGCACTACACTTACTGTAATGGCTGTAACAAATACATTCTCTTGAATTTTGTTTTCATAAAGTAAGTTAATATGCAAAATATATAGTTATGGATATTCACCAGTAAATTTTATACTGTCTTAAGTCAGTAGCTCCAAATGGATGATGTTAGAATTTGAAAAGAAATATTTTATATTTCACTTTTGGCTATTAAAAACAATCACTGAGATTCATCTAGAGTTTTCAAAGAAAGGACAAGGCATTTGTGGGGCCAGGATCAACAGTGTTGATCTTGTTGAAATGTCATTCAACTAAGAGTACTATGGCTGGTGTCAGTTTCCTGAACACATCCATAACATTGTAAAAACCCTATGTGGAAAATACATAGGAATGCATGTGATATGGGGGTGTCTTTTCATCTAGTCTCATTTATCTTAAAAATCAATTAACTTGTAGTTATTGATGTTTAAGTACTAATGTAAATATAATTGCTTGTGACCTATGTCATAATTAATTTCCACACACAAGCAACTGAGAAAAGTGGGCCCATGCTGTGGAGGAAAGGGCAAACTTAGATGCCTTATTCTAGTTCAAGCCCCGAGTTCAGTGTGGCATTTACAGTCACTCTGTGGGTCTGGGACAGCAGTGTCCTGGTTGAGATGCAGCTGGAGGGTGGGGCTGTCCTCCTGGGACAGGTCCTGACCCTCTCTAAGAGCAGAGAGGGCTGCTTACCTTATTGCAGTGTTTCTATATCTGGCCATGAGGGAATCACGTGAGCTGTGCCTGACATAAGGATTGCTGAACTAGGACAGATCTCTGAAGCGGTCTTGCAGCCTGCACGGGCGTTCATGCAGACCATCGGTTTGGCCATTTGGGGGAATCCGGTATTCATGGTGCCTCCCAGCCCACTTGCATTCCCTCCCATGTTCACTGAGTTGCTAGAACATACTTGATAACCTGTTTCACATGACAGCATATGAACAACCGAGTCCTACGTCCTTAGCAATCTAGAGTTTGTAGTCATCCGTTTGAGGGAACACAGAGGTGCAGTGGCCTTTCACAGCAGTTGCCTTTGACTGCAGGGTAGGCATGCCCTGATAGTTCTCACTGAGGTCTGAAATGCAGTTAGCAGTCAGTCTCAGAGAAATTCAGAATACGCTTCACTGCTTTCTCCCCTTTTTGCGAAGACACTATTGCACAGTCATGGTACAGTTCTGCTTTCTTAGGAGTCACCCCTTGTATATTTGCTTTTCATTATTTCCTTTTTACTTTTTCTCCATCTCTTTTATAAGATGCTCAGGCAGTGATTGGATTACTGAATTATGACTGTGGCCTTTTACAACCTAATTAAAAATAACTATGCGGTTGTTGCTATGGGAGATAATTTTATTGAATATATTTTATGATTAATTATATATCAATATAGTCAAGTGTCATTAATTAGTCTAATTATAAAATGTAATTACTTGAATAGTCATGGTGGTTTACTGCTCTTTAATAGCCAGGGTTTGGAATTTCATTTGATCTCAATGATTACTCCAATCTCTTCCTTTTAGATTATTATCTCTTTCTTTGTGACTATATTAGATTTGGTTGGCTGGTCTTAAAACATCAGCTACTTAGGTAACAAATAAAATATCTCACCGTCAGCCTTTTGAAGAAGAGATTAAGAACAACAAAGTATAATGGATAAGAGGGTTCCAAATTACTGTCTTCAGGTAGCATCACTTATATTTCTCACTGCTTAACAAGGCATGACAATTTACAAGGAGTGAAAGAATATGGTAGTGGCATATTTTAATTATGTTGAAGTTTGAAAATATTAAAAGGTCTGTGGATTATCAAGCTGTTCTTTTGGGATCTACCTGCTTAAGAGTAACTAATATATAATCTATAAACTTTCATTTTGAAAATGAAGTAGGATGGAAAAACTATGAGAGTATAGTAGAAATCAAGTATTAAATGCTGTCAATGTTTATAAGTATTGACTCCAGGATATGAAACAAAACAAACTTCTTATAAGCAGACTATGAATAGCTATATAATAAAAATTAGCTGCAAACTACCATCCTGTGTAAGTAATTTTTGGTTTCTTCACTTTTCAGCCGGCTTAGATACATTCCCAGAATGCACTTGGTGTATACTGGCATCATCATGTTGCCATTCTCCTTGGAAAAATCAGTTTGGTAGACTGTGCATCAGGGTTTATCTTGGGCTAGTTATGATATATTACACTCACTGCTGCATGTGACAGATGGACTGATGTCTTGACATGAGTACTAAGCCTTCTCCTTTACCTTCACTGTGTTACAGAGACCCTGGAAACCCTCATCCGACAAGCAGAGAATTATACCAGTATCCTTTTCTGCAACACCTACCGGAACATGGCATTGGAGGCTGCTGCTTCTATTCAGGAGTTTTTCACTGAAGTAGGGCTCTATTTATTTGGTGCAGATGTTAATCCCGAAGAATTTGTAAACAGATTTTTTGACAGTCTTTTCCCTCTGGTCTACAACCATCTCATAAACCCTGGTGTGACTGACAGTTCTCTGCAATACTCAGAATGTATCCGAATGGCCCGCCAGGATGTTAGTCCATTTGGCAATATTCCCAAAAGAGTCATGGGGCAGATGGGAAGGTCCCTGCTGCCCAGCCGCACATTTCTGCAGGCCCTTAATCTGGGCATTGAAGTCATCAATACCACGGACCATATGCACTTCTCCAAGGAGTGCAGTCGAGCCCTCCTGAGGATGCAGTATTGCCCACACTGCCAGAGCCTGCTGCTCAGCAAGCCCTGTATGGGGTACTGCCTCAATGTTGTCAGGGGCTGCCTGGCCCACATGACAGAGCTTAATCCACACTGGCATGCTTACATCCGGTCTTTGGAAGAGCTGTCAGATGCGATGCACGGGACCTATGATGTGGAACACGTGCTCCTGAACTTCCACTTGCTTGTCAATGATGCCGTTCTGCAGGCACACCTCAATGGGCAGAAGCTACTGGACCAGGTAAGCTGATGTTCTGTGCCTCCCAGCTAATTTCCTGGAATGCAAAGACTAGTCAGGATACACCCAAAATTATGTGATATTTTATTGTCCTATTCTTCACGTTTTTTTTCCCTTTTTTTTTTTTATCAGCATAGTGAATTCATTCTCTGAGAAACAGTAGCAAGATCAATGGATAGGCATGTTTGACTCAAAGTATCACATTATATCTATTTTACACCAAAATTTCGAACAGCTAAAACAACACTTCACTCATTAAGTACAGAGTTTCTCCAATGGTTTTGTGAAATTGGAAGAGCTTACGTTTAAATCAAGAACAGCATCGATTTGAGTCCAAATGCAAAATTAACTAGTAACATGAAAGGAGGTAAGAGTTTTCAGTCTCTGCCCTTTAATATCCTTATTGCTTGGGAGACAACACCACTGGTGTCCTCTGCAGCATTTCTTTCTGAGAAGGTCTTACGTGTGCAAACTGTATCTAGACCTGTGTATAAAAAGACGGGCTGCCATTGCAGGGCTGCTGTTGTAGCTTCCTAGCTTTAGAGTGGGAAAACACTGCTTATGTGTTCATGAAGTTAAGACGTGATACCTTGGTGTGCACAAGCATTTATTAGGATTTCGACAAAGTGACGGAGTGACAGTCTGTCAGAACCCAGTCTATACACCTTCTTGTTTTATTTCTAGCAAAATAAGAATCTTTTGAAACAAAACCATCAGGCAAGGGATGCAAGAATTTTCTCTTCCTCCAGCTTCCTGTGGAGCAATTTAAAAACATTCTCAGGCTCTGTCAGTAAAGCTTCTCATGTTTCAAAGAGTGAAATAGGATGTGCTGTGAATGTTTCTCCTACATCATTTCTCCTGAAATAAACGAACACTCTCCAGTACCAAGACAATCCATCTTCCTGTATTGACATTGATTTACTGACTTAACACATATTCTCATCACGAGATCTGAATGTCAACTCTTCATTTCTGGTAGAAGGTGGACGTGAAAAGTTTGAGTTTAACCAGCACCTTCAAGTTTTTTTCTGTAGCCTTTGTGAGCTGCTTGGGTGCTTTTAGAAAATTAGAAATGGCGCCCTCTGGTGGTTGCATCATTAGCATGTGGTATTCACTGGATTTCGACTCAGATTGTCTTCTGCCTAATGTCCCTACCCAGTGACACCTTTATTTTGCCATTTTACAATTAGTGTTCAAAATAATTGGTTTCATTATGACATTTTAACAATATATATAAAATATCAACATCTATATCTATCTATCATCTATCTATCTTTATCACTGTATCTTTTTCATAGTCACTTTACAATGTCCTCCTACTTGACTTGTTCTCCACTTGATGTAATAAGCCTCATTTCTTGGCCTTTTCTCCTCTATTTATGTAAATAAAATATAGGATAGACTTCTAAAAGGACTTAACAATCCAACAAGAATTTATAGTTTTAAAATTTGGACTGGAAATATTATATCCATATTATGATGACAAGTATGTCCAGAGGGAATGTATTTATTTAGAAATCTGAGGTCAAGTCTAGAACTCATTTTTTTCTTTTAAAAATGTTTACTTATTTTATTATTTTTATGTATCTGAGCGCTTTGCCTGCATGTATATGTGTACTATGCATGTGCCTGGTGTCCGCAGAAGTCAGAAGAGGCTTCTGGAAGTAACAGACATTGCGAGCTGCCATGTGGGTGCTGAGATTCAAACCCAGTTCTTTTCCAAGAGCAACAAGTGCTCTTCACCCCTGAGCCATCTCTCCGAGTCTCACATTTTATGTTTAATTTGTGATATTCTCGTTAGAATCTTGGGCCAGAGATTTCTGATACATGTAAGAGAATTGACACTTCAGGTCCTTTTTGTCACACATTTTTGGGAGCCAGAGTGCCTTTTTTTGTCCTTAAAATCTATCATGTAGAAATTCATCTATTTTTCCTATTTCAAAGGCTGAAGTCACACAGGACTCCAGTGGGCATGCATGCTTTTAAGTTCAGCATTTTCTACCAGGACCCTTGGCAAACTACTAACAGTGTGAGATCTGAATTTGGCTTGTGTGACAAGGATGGTAGGGATGGATTGGTTGGGGTAATATTGGTCAGTTGCTGGGGCTGGATAGTGTGACCACCTGCTATTTTCTTTCCCTGGTCTGGGCAAACCTTGGTTAAACAGTTTACTTTTGTATTTCAAATTAATACTATCATGTTTGTGCTTTAAGAATACATTTTATAGAAAGCTTTCATCCTGTGAAAAGAGGATAGGAAGTATGTACAAGGCAGAGGACAAGAGCTGCAAAGGACACTGCAGTTGTGAACTCACAACTGCGGTTACCTGCACCGGGCCTTGTAAGGTTTGCCTTGTCCACGATTACAGCCATCACCCCCTCTCTCTCCCTCTCTCTCCCTCTCTCTCCCTCTATCTCCCTCTCTCTCCTTCCCTTTAATCTGGTTAGTAGTAGAGTCTGCTCTTCAACGATTTCACACAGTAAGGAATACTGAGCATTCTTGCCGCCACTTTCCCTCATCTCTCGCCTGTTGTGTCTACTCTTCCTTCCTACCAATCTGCCCCACATTCCTCTTTCTCCATTTGTTTTGTGAATCCCTGAGTTTACCCAGGGCCATCGGTATGACCATGGGTTTGGAGATATCTGTTGGAACTTCAGCAGACACTGACTCCCTTTGTCCCAGAATCTCAAATAGGCAATGGATCAGTCCACAAGGGGTCGGGTTCTGTGCAGCTCTCTCCCTTCCGTGACCGACTGTTGACCAAAGCCAGTGTTGAGCTGCCCCAGGGAAGGTAACTATGGTTCCACATTCGTGGTTGCAAGAGTTGTACTGGGCCTTGAGAAGAGCATTTCACAGCTCCTCCCCTAATCACCTGACTCTTGCCTCATTCTGTCTTCTCTTCCACAGGGTTCCCTGGATATTAGAGACAGTGTTGGTAGCATAAATGTGCTCTAGGGCTGAGGGCTGGATGGTCACTTATTTTTAGTGTCTTGTATTCTTTATCATTCACTGAAAAGATTGGCTTCTGTGAGGGAGGTTGAGATTAAGGTTTGTGTGTGTGTGTGTGTGTGTGTGTGTGTGTGTTATAAACAGGTACTTAGAAGGCCCTTTGATGCTATGTCTTATTTAAACTGCAGTGGTACAAGTTCCTCTCTTGACTTTCTAACTCCCCAGGCATGGGTTGTTGTTAATCACACAGCCAGGCGTGGGCTCAAATATAATCATCAGGCTGTTGGTTACCCCCTACCCCACAGTGGTGCCACTATTGCGAGATATTGTGTACTATTGTGTACCCTAATAAACTTGCCTGAGGATCAGAGGACAGGGCCAGATACTGGTTCTTACCTCTACAGAATCCTCAGTCTAAGGAGAGTGAGTTCCTGTTTCCTCACACCTTATCTACCTTTCTTCACCCTGCCATAGTACTTCCTGGGATTAAAGGCACGTGTGCTGCCCAAGCAAGGGCATGAGATCTCAAGTGCTGGGATTAAAGGTGTGTGCCATCACTGCCTGACCCCTATATCTAATCTAATGACTGGCTCTGTCCTCTGAACCTCAGTCAAGTTTATTAGGGTACACAATATATCACCACACACAACTTTCTGAGTAGGTTGGTTTTTTTGGTTTATATAGTTCTCCAGTGGATAAGACCATTGCTAACTTCTTTACTCCTATAGCCCACATATATCTTCTGGCATCTGAAAGCAAGCCAGCAGTGAGGAAGTTTCCAGCTCAGTACGAGCTTTCTCTCTACCTTATAATGAGGTCTGTGGTGTTTCAACAGTAGGGTCTGATCCTGTAGTCCTGATTGGCAATCAAGAGGACTAACAGGAGACTTCTGTTTCAGGAACCTAAAAAGAAAAAGTCTGATTTTGTTTAATAAAATGGTATGATAAGTATCTTAAGGAGCATAATTATTACTAACAAATTGTGGGTTATTTTTCAAATAAAACAACTGAGATCCTCATTTTCATTTATTTGGAAAGAAGAAGAAGAAACTGACTTTAAGATCCTTGTAAATTGACTCATTAATATTTATTTGTGCCAACTTCAAAGTGATTTATAAACTGTTTATCAAGCTTTGATAACCGGTTCACACATCAGTGATTTCAACAAATTCAAAATAAATTGTTGAGGAGCAGCAAATAATGGTTCTCTCACATTCCCAAAGCAATCTATGAACTCAAGCACATCTCTGTGTATTTTTCAATAAATACATATTTCCTCTTAAAGAAATCCACAGAGGTGCCTCATGTATCATGCTCTGTTAAAGGAATTTCAACCTAAAATAAAAATAAGTTCCTAGGTTATTGACAAAATCATAAGTATTGCACACAACTTTCGGTAACAGAAGCATGTTTAAAAAGACTATTCTTGTGATGGAAGCAGATGCAGAGATCCACAGCCAAGTACCAGGCTGAGCTCCAGAAGTCCAGTTGAAGAGAGAGAAGAGGGATTCTACAAGCAAGTGCATCAAGATCATGATGGGGAAACTTACAGAGACAACCAAAGCAAATGAGTGGGAACTCATGAACTTTCGACCAACAGCTGTGGAGCCTCCACAGAACTGGACTAGGCCTCTGCATAAGTGAGACAGTTGTGTAGTTTGATCTGCTTAAGAGGCCCCCAGGCAGTAGGATCAGGATTCATACCTGGTGTATGAACAAGCTTTTTGGAGCATGCTACCTATGGGCTTGCACAGCCTTGAGGCAGGGAGAGGGGCTTGGACCTGCCCTACTGAATGTACCAGGCTCTGGTGACTCCCCATGGGAGGCCTTACCTTCTTGTAGGAGGGAATGGGGGTGGCTTGTGGGGGAGGCTGGAGGGACAGGAGGAGGGAAGAGGGGGATTTGTGATTGGTATGTAAAATGAATAAAAAAATTTCTAAATAAAAAAAATAAAAAAATTAGAGGATTGCTCAGTAAAAAATAATAAAAAATTAAAGACTATTCTTTAAATTCTAAAGGGTTTTTTTGGGTAGATTAACTCAAAATTTAACTTAA